GATAGTAGGGAACAGTTCATTGGCGTTATTCCTTAAGCTCCAGCACGGAGCTGTGCTTGATACTCCGGACCCAACTCAGGTGAGGACACCAGAGCCATCTCTGCCTCCATGAAGCCCGAGTTTTAGTGAAACTCAGCTCCTTCGAAGCTGGGGTGATTTATGTGACAGTTATTTAGTGGTAAAATGGAGAAAACATGATGACTCTCATAATTGGGAGAGGCACAGACGCTTATTGGTTTTTCGTTTTATTTGGGGGCGGTTATTGTTTTGCTGTAGTTTTTTTTGTTTGTTTGTTTGTTTTTGACGCAGGGTTTCTCTGTGTAACAACTCTAACTGACCCGGAACTCACTTTGTAGACCTGATTGGCCTCAGAGCTCACGAAAATCCGCCTATCTCTGCCTCCCGAGTGCTGGGATTAAAGGCATGTGTCTTCATACCAGGCAGCTATTGGATTTTTACATTGGAGGGATGGTATGATACGAATTAGCATGGAGAATAAAACAGAACACGTTAACCAAGCTGTTGCACACCTGAAATACTAGCACTCAGGAGGTGAAGGCAGGAGAATTGTCTTAAGTTTGTGGCCACCCTGGGCTATACAATGAGCTCCAGGCCATCTAATGAGACCCTGTGTTTAAACAAACAAGAAAAATAATGACTTGGAGACTTTGGGGGAAGAGTTCAGTCTTGGATGTATCGATTGAAGTAGACATCTTTGCATGGAGGTGGTTTGTCATATATTTGTTTATATAAACCAAAAAGCGAAGAAGAAACCCACAGGTCAGTGGTTCTCAACCTGGGGGTCTCAACCCCTTCGACAGACTACTACCTCCAAAAATATTTACGTTACTATTCATAACAAAAATTGCAGTTATGGAGTAGTAACGAAAATAATTTTATGTTTTGGGGTCACTACAACAGGAGGAACTGTTTGTAGCATTAGATACAAGGTTTAGTTAATATATGTGCTAATTCACACACTACACTAGTGAAAGAAATTGTTCAAGGAAAATGTAAATGGTAAGAAAAGGCCCATCAAAGCACCTCACAATCTAAGGTGTAAGAATCAGAGTATATTTTAAAAGTGCAGTTGCTGAGATAGGGCTGGGAAAATAAGAAACAACAATTCTAGCTAGTTCCCTTAGCATTTGTTTCAGCCATGGGTTGTTTCTAGCTCTTAGAAGAGCAGTTTGAGCAGAGTGAGCTCCTCTCCTTGTCCTGAGATGGCCTACAGTCAGAAGAGGTCATGGCTGCCTGCTACCCGATGACAGCAAGGTCCCCTCTCAACAGAAAGGACCTTCACTGAAACACTGGAAAGAGAACAAGCCAAATGAGGTTTTTGCTTCATTCTTAGGAAGTGAAACCAACAAACAAAAAACTCAAAACAAATAATGGAAGTGTTTGAGCTGCTGAAGTAAGAAAAGATAGGAAAAACTGTGGCTTACTTCAAATATTTTTAAATTGCTGTCTTTTGAAACCCCAGAATTAGAAAAAACAAAACAAAACAAAACAAACAAAAAACCCAAAAAATCCTGAATGGAGTTAAGTCATTTTAGATGTAACCCATAATATTTGCACATCGACCAAAGGGAACTTTCTGATGGAGCGTTGCTTTCAGCTTCCCCATTCCACTTAGTACAGTCCTGTTTGGAGTGTACCAGCACACTGTTCAGCAAGTGTAGACTCAGTGGGTTCAGAAGTCTGTCCTCTCTGGCTTTGTGTCTAGTCTGTAACTACCTCCTATGTTAGTGAGTCTTACACTTTTAGAGTCACATATTCCCTTGAGAATTTGGTGGACAGTTATAGACATTACCATCCAGGAAAAAATCTGCAAGCAAGCATGTACCTAAACATAAGAATTAGACAAGCAAGCATGTACCTAAACACAAGAATTAGTAAAACAGACCCCATCCCCAAAATATCCCATAGGTGGTAATAGAACTTCAGGTTAGGGACTTTATTTTAGTGGTTTTCCTCACAGATGAGAGCATAGCCACCACTTATTCTGAAATTACAGACACTGAAGCCAAGAAGCATGTGTGACTTAATCTAGGACCATGCCTAAGATTTGCTGTACATCCAGCTCAATGCACTGTTGATTCTATTCTGTCAACCTTACTTTTTAAGTGGCCCCAAGCAACTCACAACTTCACAGATTTCCGTCCTTAATCATATGCACATATTTTAATTTTCAAATAATGATGCTGTTTGGTGAGGCCACGTATAGTCAGAAACATGTGTTATTCTAACTGAAACTCCCTGGTAGATGACTTTTGGGGCAGTTCTTTCTGATTAGGGCTGTCTTACATATTTATACTGAAGGAGCTCATGAGCTGTTTCTGATACTTGCACTTTAATCTTGCTTAATGAACTGATGTAAGCACAGTTCTTGTTCTGTTTTGGTAACCCCGTAGATTTCTTCTGATGCTCAGTTTCATGTGACTACGCCATTCTTGAAATGCTAATACACAATGCTAATTCCAGAAAGGACCACAAAAGTTAGATTTCATTTCAGGGAGCTGTATTCAGTGTTCACAGGCCTTCTGCAAGAGTACGGCTGTGAGAAGAATGATATTAGATGGAAAATACGGGTGCCTACTTTTGGTGAACACACAAATTTAAACATATAGATTGCACAAATTTTGGATAAACTGAGGTGGAATCCAACACTTCTTGCATGAATGCCTGTATAATGTGGCCATAGCTGTGAGAAAAGAGGAGCCCCGCATCTAAGACCCAACACAATGAAAATGCAATGAATCGGAATGCCTCACAGATCATAGCGGAATCAGAATTTCCAGCAAGGAAAATCTTTTCATGGTGAATTAAGTGGTGGATGAAGAAAAATGGTGATGAAAAAGGTAGGCACAGATCACAAACACTGAGCTCAGGGCTCACCGCTGAAGATTTAAGAACCTTAGCTAAAGCTATGCAGAATAGAATGTGGAAAATTGAATTTACTAAACAATTAAGCATTGAATTAATCTACATCCTGCACAGTAGAAAAGTGGGGGAGGGAGTGGAGCAGAACTGAATAAATCAGTGGAGCTCATTAAAAGATAGTGAATATATCAGGTCTGTTCTGGCAGAAAGGAGGACAGCTTCCTGTCTGACACGGAAAGATTCTCTGGGTCTACGTCACCTTTCTGGAGTCCTGCTCTTAATCAGATTAACAAACGTGTTCCTGATGAGGTTAGTCTGCTGCTCTGTATTTTAGCTTGTTATTACTATCTTTTCTATTAATTACAAGTCAGATCACCAGTCAACAATAGTAGTGAGGGACAACATAAAGAAAATGAGAGTGCCCAGGAGACATCCCTCTCAGGATCTCATGCATCCTGAGACTCCCACGGGCTCCTGCAGCCTCCCACATGCCTTGCTGGTCTTTTGTTCAATTACAGTTAATGCAATAGTTTGCCATTTTCTCCTTCTAATTATATTTTCAAGTGGGATTTGTAGCACACAGAAAAACATCCTTTTACATGTCGAGGCACCGGGGTTTTGTGCCTGGCATTGTCTGTCCCCTGGGTGCTGTACCATTCTCTCTGCAGAGCTCTGAATAAACAAGTCCCCCTTTTAGAGCTGCAGTTGTACAAACTGAAAATTTATGCATTAACTGTTTGCATTCTGAGCATGTGTTCCAGATTACATCTTAGAGTGTTCTTCTGGTATGCTTCAAAATAAGTTTCTGCAGAACACACTTCTTTTACAGTTCATATAGCTCTCAATCACAGAATCCACACATCAATTAGCACTGGTTTTGAGAATATGCATAATTGGTGATTTAAACATACAAGTGATATGTTCTGTGGCTTGATCCATTTTGGGGGTGGCACCAGTCTTCAGACCAAGGGTGGGGTGAAGTGTCCATTAAAGGAGTATTGAGTCTCCCTTGGGGTTCCAGTACAGCAGGCCTTGTGGGCAGGGTCTTCATTTTCTTGGCCCTGGATGTCTGAATTATTTGATCTTCTCAGCCCTTTTTATTGTCTCTGGGATGGGTAAATGCTTTTCAAGAAATAAACAAAGAGCAGTGATTCTGCTAGGCATATCCCACTTGTGGAAGGGTCAATAAACTTCACTACAACAGAGTCACGAACCATGACCGTCTATGACTGAAATGATGTATACATATTTTACACATAAGATCATCTTGCCTCCCCACTAATAATCTTGAAGACAAACATCACTTCCCAGCCAAGATCCAGCCCTCTATTCTGCATCACTCCTACTGCAGGGGATGACCAGTGACTCATGAGGCTGGTTTTGAAAGCAAGCACTGAAAGCTCATTCAAGTCTTGTCTGGTGATAAAGAGAGATTTGGAAGAAGTATCACCATGATTGTTTTCCCTAAGAATTGAATTTGCAGTCAATCTGAATGTTACTTTCAAATGCACCAGTGATAAGAAGCAACATCTGTTTTCTGTTCAATAGTACAAGAAGGCTCGGCATGGGGCTGAGTGTATACAGTCCATGTAAATCTATTGTTAGCATTTCTTTTTTGTCTCTGTGCCTGGTCCAGTTGCTGTGTACCACTAGGCAAACAGCTGACACACACTAGCTATTATAGACCTAGGTCAGATTGTGAGATCTTGAAAGCTCCACCAGGTTTGTCTCCTAGAATGAAGCAGAGGCCTCTGAGAACACAGTGTTAGAGATCATTCCTCCCACTTTGCATTTCTAGAGTAGCAGAGTGCTCTACCAGAGGGTTAAAAGTATAGTTAGATTCAAGTGGCAGCAAAAGTCCCCTGAGTCTGAAATGTCTTTGTTTCCTTGTTAATAAAACATGCAATTACTTACACACTAACTATTATAATCTGGAAGCTGAGACTGGCAGATTTTGAATATACCTATGCAGCCCCGAGCTAAGACCAGTTTTGTAGAAGAGTGGGAATGATGGCAATGTTGTCCCCTGTAGCCCTCCCCAATTTGTCATTGTCTGATGGGATCACACCCTGTTAACAGATGGCTTTTACTCAGATTTCTGATTTGTGCCCCCACAGCCCTCTTGGAATAGAGATCATGATGACACGGCATCCACTCGTTCAGGAGGAACCCCGGGCCCTTCCAGCGGTGGCCACACTTCACACAGTGGGGATAACAGCAGTGAGCAAGGTAGGAGAGGGGTTCTCATTCTCCCTTGCTTCTTGCTTTGTGTTCAAGGGTTGGAAAATGTCAGGAAGTCAGTTCCTATCCCTAGAGCTTCTCCCAGAACACAAATCCCATATAATGTGAGAATCTGTTCATCTTGTTCAGTCTCTGGCGCAATTCTTCAGTGCCCTCCCTGTCACCTGGTCACCTTCACAATCAACTGAGGCAAGATTAGAGAAATAGATGAGAAATTCAAGTGTGTACAAATAGCATGGCACCAATACCCTAGTGTGATGTCCTTGGGGCTTTTCAAAGGATCATAGAGAAACCTACATTGAGAGTCCTAACAATATTTAAAGATTTTAGGAAGAATTGACCACCCAGCTCAGTGTAGATAGAGGGCTTGCCTAGAATGCACCTGGCCCTCAGTTCAAACCCAGCACTACCAAAAGTAGTAGATCCATGTTGAGGTGTAATTCTTAGAAGGCAATTTGGCAACCTATGGTAGGTTTCCCTCTGCACTGGGTCTAAGGCTGTGGTCTTATTTATTTTCTTTGAGGTTTAGATTCATTGCAAAGCCAGATTAGACACAGGAGGAAATCTACTTACTTTGTGCTGCACTTTAGATGTATACTTTTGTCTACATGGGGATGTTCATGGACATACATGCTTTACAATAGCTAGTTAGAAATAAAGCATAAACATCATAGTGGTCTTCAGCAACAAGGAGACTCAATATCAAAATATTTTGGAGAAGGGTGTTACTCCTGTGGGTTTTGTGTGTAATTAAGGAAATTAGAGTTAAAAAATTAAAGTTTGCATCTGACTATGAAAGACTGCTTTACTGAAGCTGCCTCTGAGTCCACAGTAGGTAGTTTTAGAATTTGATTTTGTGATCATTTTTTAATGGAGTGTTACTCAGCAAAGAAAGGAATGTGGTTGTCTAACTTAATCAGGACACATCAATTAGAACTACAAAGTCTACAGTGGATTTAGCATGATTGATTGGAAAATAGGAGCAGGAAAGCTCTTTTTTTTTTTTAAGGCATATGTGTGGTATTTCCCCCAGAAATAACTTCTGCAGATGTAATTTTAAGCATTGGAGACATTTTATTGTTTAAAAAAAAGTTGCTGACTTCATCAGAAGTAGAAGCCTAGTAAAAATGGAGCCTGGAATAGTAAACCAGTCCAGAGCTGAGGTAGAAGCAGGTAACCTCTGACCTCTGACTTTTACTGGAAAATGATATGCAGCATAAATCCAAGAGGCCTTTTTTCTTTCAAGTGTGTGTGTATGTGTTATGGCATTGCTGTTTGGAGTGTGAGGGTGGTGTCAGCATTTTCCATCGGAAGCCTGGCTTGAAGAATTCTACTTACACTATGAGTTTTCCAAGAGGTGTAAATGCAATCTAAATTTTTTTTTCCTATAGCCCAGAACTGCTACATGGGGTCACAGCCTAGTGTTTTGTTTGTTTCATTTTTGCTTTCGTTCCTTGCTTTAAAAAACATATTTAATCTAAGAATCAGAGGGTCATTTAGCTGAGGCATTAAGGCTTGCAGACTGAGGAAATGTAGAACTTAGAGATGTAATGCACAAGCTTCTAAACATGATCAGATAAGAGAATTTTTGGAGAGCAAAGATCCAATGCTAGGTGTTTCCCCTATAGCTGTGACCGGAAATTAAGAGTTCCTATGTTTCTTTCATTTGATCAGTGATCTCCGGAAGTTCAGTTGATGATGACCTGGTTATCTCTGCATGTGACCAGCTTTCCACTCCTGCTGTTTCTCTTTATACTTCTTATACTTACAGGCCACCACCTATGGGTTTGAAAAAGCATTTTCATATAAATTATCTCATTTGAATCACCTTGGTTGAATCATTTGTAAATAATCCCAGGTTTGGAGAAATGGCTCAAGTAGTTAAGAACATTGATACTCTTGCAGAGGACCTGGATCCCGTTCCTAGCACCGGTTCTTAGATAGCTCATGACCTCTGTATCTCTGACACCCTCTTCTGGCCTCCTTGAGTACTGTACACATGAGGTGCACATACAGATGAGTACATACACAAATGTATATATAAAAATAAATTTAAAAATTTCAAAAATGAATAGAAACAACCTTGGTGCCAGAGAAAGCATAGGAAGTCAATACAAGCTAGGTAAAGTGTGGGATATGCTGACATCCCCAGGCAATGCAGACCCACCTGTTGCAAATTTCCAGGATGTTAAGAGTCTTTTCATCCCACCATCTTTCTCACCTGCCCACCAAAGAACCTAGTCAATTACCCTGTCCCTTCCGCTCTAACTTGTAAACAGTAGGAAGAGGAGGCAAAGCTCTAGTCTTCTTTGCTTTCATGGTGGATTTTCTTTGGCATACAACTTATTTCTGCCAAACGTAGAATGAGGCCTGAAGGTGTTGCTCAAACAAGTTGTGAGCATTTCCATGCTAACCTGGACCCTTCTAAACCTGTTCCGTCATCCCAAGACCTGTGAAGCTGGGCCTTTGTACAGCCTCCGGATTAACTGTGTGCAGTGGTGTTATACACTTTTCCTGTCTGCCTTTTCTGGCAGGCATGGGAGTGGAAGTGTGCCAGCATTTGGCTCATAGTATGTATCCTAAATAGTTATTTACACACTTTGAGTCCATTTTAGTCAACTGGATAAATAACAGCCCTCTCCAAAAGATTTAGAAAGCCGTAAACATGTCTTCATATATACCCAATAGACACAAATAACTCAATCTTTCAAGACCATACACAAAGAGGTGTTTTCCCCAGAGACAGCAGCAAATTTCACATTTCAAAACTTTCTCTGCTACATTATTTGAACAGTTTTCACCACTTCATTGGGTACCTGTGGAACAAAATAAGTAAGTGGATAAATGGATGAATAGACAGAAAGACAGACAGACAGACAGACAGACAGACAAAGTTCCTTTGGCTTTAGTCCTCTATTAAATAGCCCATCTTTTGCACAGTGTAAGTCACTAAGCAGCAATGCACATTTCAAATGAGTCCTGTGTTTTGGAAACTTCAAAGAAAGTAAGTCATCCAGGAAAATCTTAACTTCCTGAGAGGTTCAGAAGGTGCAATGTCCCTTCCTTAAAGCTCCAGCAATTTTGGTGATTCTTGAATGCCTGATCTTTTTCATATTAATAACTGCTATAATCAATAAAATATTTTCAGGACAAATTTGCATAAGGATAAATGAACAAACAAACAAATAAATCCAAGTGTAGGCATTCAAAAGAAAATATAGATAAAGTATATAATTGTGAAGATCCCGAATATATTATGGTTTAGGGACTTTTTCATGATTTGCATAAAATATCAGAGTTGGTTTTTCTTTTGTTGCTGTGATGAAATATCTTGAACCAACTTAAAGAAGGATTTATTTTTATTTTGTCTCACTTTTTCAAGGGTTGAAATCTTGAAAAAGTCAGGCTCGCTTGCCCCTCCATCGCTTCTGAGCCTGTGTGTGAAGAAGTTGAACATGGCGTGCAGCATGGTGGGGAGCAGTCTGTCACTTTGTGGTTGGTAGACAGGCTGCAGAAAGACAACAAAGGATACAATAAGATAAACCTTCAGGGACAGGGCCCTATAACCCAATTCCTCCAAGCAGGCCCCACCTCCAAATCATCCATCCAACTATGAATTTGTCAATGGATTGATCCATTGATGAGGTTTCAAGCCCTCATGTCTATTCGCCTTTCGAACAGCTATCACCTAGTGACCAAACCTTTAACACTTGAACCTTTTGAGGGGACATTTCATATTTAAATCATAATATCTCTTCCTCAACTGAAATTACTTATCTTGACAACTCTTCCTGTGTCAACCACTTTCATTTCACATTAACATTTGTGACCCTTTCCAGAAATTAATTCTTTAACAGTGAAACCCCTTCAAACTGGCACTGAGAAGGGAGGGCTTCACGTCTGTGGTTTGGTAGAGGATTCGGTTGCTGTCACTATGACATTGATATTGTCTGTTCTCTAACTCCCTTCAAAGAAATTCCAAAGACATTAGAAAAAAATTTTTTTATCCCCTTGGCTCTTTGATAGCTTCCCGTTTTGCAGGAGAAAAAGGGAGTAGTGGAGAAATACTAGACAGCTCCTGCAAATTCAACCCTGAGATCTTAGACTCTGGGCTGTGCAGTGCATTAGAACAGGGTGTGCTGTTAGAACAGCACTCTTGTGCAGTGTGGCATTGGGTGGTACACGTTGGCAGGTGTACATTTTCATACATCCCTTTTTTCCTTCTGTGCATGGATGCCCTGATGAACAGAGCAAAGCTCTATTGTAGGAAGTAGTTTGGAGCAGAAGGCCTAGCCAGGCTAGTGCCTCTTCCCACTAGCTCCAAGCTCCTTACTGAAACCATTCTGCCTCACAAGCAGCTTTAGCAATGACTGGCAGAATTATGAGTTTGGGCATGTCTTCTTTTCTTTGCTCCAAAGTAAAGAGAACTGACTATCTGATCATAAAAATAATAGCCCAGGATGCAAGGATTGTTGGTTGGCTAGGTATTTCCATTCCCTCATCATGTAGACCAGGTCATGGGGGAACAGAGAAGCTAAGAGATTGGCTAAAGCTCACATGTTGGTTACTTTTTGAATTGAGGCTCCACACTTTTGGTCTAACCTTAGAACCCAAGTTCCTGACTACCACATACTATGGCATGCAGTATTCTCATATGCCTTATGAAAATAGGTTAATTGCCAGATTTCTTTCTGTTGCCAATACAGTCCCTCTTCTCCTGTGTCTGTACTGATCTAGTGCTGAGCTATGTCATGGTGACAGGCACGCAATGGGTTGAATCAGTGAGATGCAGGGGTACTGCTTTGCTGGAGAGTGAGGACCTAGCTTTGTATTCTAAGAGGAATGATGACTGTGCCAGTTCCAAAGGGAGCACAATGATTGATATGATTAATTTGTATTCTGTATTAAGATCCTTACCATATTTCCCACCTTCAAAGACATACTGCATTGAGAATAAGAGCTTAGAAAACAAGGCAGAATATTTCTCT